ATCAGTCTAAAATTTCATGTTCAATTGAAAATATAGCTAAATTACTTAATCTTTGCTGGTGCGTTGTTGATCTTAAATAGTTTTTTTTTATAATTTTAACTTTGAAAAGGACCCTTCACCAAATGCAACTGAAACCGGCAATGTAAGTAATATTCTTACAAGTTAGTGCTATTGCTGTGTTCGGAAATGTTGAAATTAAGTCATTAGTAAAAAGATATTGTAATAAGATTTGAGGATCATTAGCTGGTTTTCTGGAAAATGCAACTTTAAAGTATTGATTTCATTAAACAAGTCAATACCGTCAACGTCTGTTTCACTACTTGAATCGTCTTTAAGCTTCAGATTTAAATCCTAACCAAGTTAAAATATCATTAATTATACTTAGACCCATGTCAGAAGTATTATTAACAAAATAATTGCAATTTGATATGCGATAGAACTGTTCGAATGCGTACCTGTCAACTTTTGTCATAGAGCACGACTATGAGTACTTGGCTTTCGGGCGTCGCCGGACAGTTCAACCTGCTGACAGACGTTTCGCATTGCATCCTAATTCTGATAAATGCCAATAGAGGCGCTGTTAATGCTATAATATAGGCTAAATAAGAATATAGTAATTGTGCTCCGGTCGGATTTTTTTCTCCTTGCGAAGACATTTCTTATGTTATAAGTAGGGTGGGTATTAGGACAATGACTTTGAATATTACGTGACCGATCGCTCGATTTGCTGCCCCCCTGGACGTGCCGCCCGCGTGCCGTGCACCCCTTGCACGCCCGCTTACGGCGGGCCTGCATGAGATGTGACAGTGTAAACTGTGTTGTTTTTTCATGTCTGATATTGTAGCCATAATGTGTGTTGTTTAACATGTTGGATAATGGGTTCAGAGCTAGGCAGAACCAGAGAGGACTCAAGGAATCTCCTTGAAAAATTCCTCGCCTAATGTATATCTCATTTGTTTGTATGGAAGTGTTACTAACCCTGAGATGCAGTGTTGTTCTCCAGTGCTGCATAGTGTTTTCAAAGAAGGCAATGAATGATGGATGTATTTTGTACATGTATAGAATATGTAGCAGCCAACTGTGTGGAACACTGTCGAATGCTTTTCTGTAGTCTATATATACCATGTGTATGTTTCTGTGTTGTTTGTGTGCTTGCCGTAGAATGACTGAATCTATGAGTAACTGTTCTTTGCATCCCCTGTGATTTCTATGGCAACCTTTTTGTTGTTCCGTAAGAATGTTGTGTTCTTCAACATGTTTGTATATTTTGTTTGTGATACAGGATGTCAATAATTTGTAGACTTATTATTATTATTACTATTAAATAAATTGGTTTAGTTCTTTTAAAATGTATGTGCAAATAAGTAAATTAATATAAACATCAAATTATTGCAGATTAATCCACTCTTTTTATAGTGTGCAAATTTGCAATATTGTAAGAAAGTGAATGGTATATAAACAAAAACTATAATTTCATTGCACGTATATCTTTGTCAAAGGACAGAAAACAATAGAATGAATAATATAAATAAATAAAATGAAAAAAAAAAAAAAACAATTACCCAATCAGAATTGAGTGTGCATGTTTCAAATGATGCAATTATAAAAAAAGACTAAAAAATTAGTTTTTGCATTTGTATACATTATATTATGAATAATCAAATATGTATTAATAAATACTTATTTATATATCAAATTAAAGAAAAAAATTCTTTAATATAGACTAGTCATAAAAACCATAGTGTTATTCATTTTCAAACAAGCAAGATTTTAAAAAAGGCCAACAAAGGTCAATCCACAGAATCATGATACCTAAAAGATCCACCTGAAAGTGTTAACGCTTATGGGACTGATGTTTTTCAGGTGTCTTGTTTCCATGGACTGACCTTTCTTAACCTTTTTTTATAATTACATATATTTGAAAACAAGTAACTTTATGGTTCTTTATTATTAGTCTATGTTAAAGATTGTTTTTATCATTTAATTTGATATATGATAAGTAAGAATTTGTTCATATAAGTTTAATTATAAATAATTTGAATTAAATGTAAGCAAATGCAAAAATCAATTCTTTTCAAAGCCATTTTTGTAATTGCACCATTTAAAAAACCTGTGCTCAATTCTGATTCAGTAATAGTTTATTTTCATTCTGTTGACTATTTTCTGCCATCTGACAAAGATTTATGAAGATGTGAGCAACAGAATTTTAGTTTTGATTTTGTTTATATGCCATCCTCATAAATATGCAAATTAGCACTCCATAAAATATGCATTAAACCACAATAATTGTGACTTATTTGTATTTATATTTTAAAAGAATTAAATGTTAAACTACTGTAGTTAATAATAGTAATAACTACAAAAAAAGCAAGAAAACTGTTGCAAATAAAATTTAAAATTTTCAATTTTGATTTTAAAATTTTGTCACTAGATGAAGCTATAAGTATGTTACTTACTGAAAGGGCTATGGCCATAGAAATATAAGAAAAAACAAATTTACAGTTATGACAACAAAGATTATGGGGGAGTTACAGGAATTGCCCTGTAGAAGCTAAAGATCATTCTCATATTTCCTACAGGAGACATCATGAAAGTGTTAACTGCTTCACAACAGCATATGATAAAAGTTGTTAAAAAGTGTCAATAAACTAAAATTATTTTCCTGCAGTGTGACTTCCAATTGAAAACTTTAAAATTTCAATTTATGTTTCAAAGAAATCAATCAATATTTATATACAATTAATTTATCACTCTATCAATCAGGGCTGCAGAGTCAGTAAAAAAGCACTTGACTTCGACTTCTGATAATTTTAGTAGGCTGACACCGACTCCAGCAAAATTAAAAACCAAGTCATTTTATGGGGGAAGAGATGCTCATAGGGGGTACCCTACTCTGAACTCTGAAAGGAGCCCTGGGCATTTACACAAATACTTTTATAGTTAGAATTTTTAATATTTAACTTACATTAATATTTATTTGTATAAAGAAATTAATTTTTTAACAAATATTTAGTAAGTGAAAAAAGGGGGAACAATAAAATTCTACATCTACATATCTTTATTCTACAACATTTGCACTTCAATTTCACCTTTCCAGAAAAGTTAGTCCAACTAAAAAGTGTGCAATCTAGCCACTTCAGCCCCTTGTTCAGAAAAGAAAAATATATACTTTGTTCAATTAGTCTTGTTCATTCAGAAAAATAGAGTACTCATTTAAAGCAGGGATAATAAAGATTCAAAAAATATTCAAATTTAATTAAGTCAAAACAATTTAACTACTAAACACAAATACTACAAAGAAAACTACATATTTATTAAATTAAATTGTTGCATTTTGTATTTAAAATAAATGAATTATAACAAAATACAAAAACATTTTAAAAAATTATTAAATATAAAATAAATTTTCTTTCATTTAAATAAAAAAAATTAATTAAATTTTAAATGCCAGAGTGGGAGTCAACACATTTTTTCCGACTCCAACTCCTCTGGTCAGAAATTCCTCCCGACTCAGACTCCACAGCCCTGCTATCAATTACAAAATACAGTAGAGTCTTGACAGTTCAAATTGATCAGGAATGGGACAACTTCAAATTAATGAAAACCCAAAGAATACAGAATATATATAAAATGGAAAACAGTAATAACAAAAGGCATTGAATAACTGAAAGTTTATTTTATTGGCTTAAAATACAAGATGTCCTGTACAATACTGTGCAAGTGGCAACCATATCTAGAAGAATCTGAAAATCGTATCATTTCACAATGCAATAAAGTGAAAATCAATACAAAACTTTTCAGTGTATGATTTTTTTTTATTTTATTATTTTGTTATTTTAAATTGTATACAGTCGACCCCTTCATAACGCGGTAGATATGTTCCACCTTATAAGAATTTCACATTGTAGGAATCCTTAAATACATGAGCCAATCACAGCCCAGAACGTGTGCAGTTTACAGACTACGGCTGTTTGAAAGGTTTTCTTCCATAAAATTAATCGATTCTAGACTAATTTGACTCAACATTTCCAAAACACGTATAATTTTTTGGAAATAATCCATATAAACTATGCTATAAACAAATAATTGCAGGATTACTTACCAAGTGTTTTTGTCGCGGGGCAGCACACCAAACAGCGGGTGCATTTTCTGATAAGTTATTTTTCTGCGAAAAATTCGTTGAACTTGGAGACATCATTAATAGAAATAATTTTTATGGCCATTGAATAAGAAATGTTTTTTCACAAGAAATGTATAAAATTACAGTACTGTATTACAGTACCTAATTTATATACTGTACAGACAATAGTAAACTCAACTTACCCGCCTAAACTCTCCGTAGCGTGTAAGTAGTTCGGCTGCTCGTCCACTATTGGTCCAGATTCAACCAATCCATTCACGACACGAGTCTGTGATGACGTTTTACCACATTTTATGAGTCTTTTTTAGCATCTTTATATGAATAAGGTCGCAATTTTTTCGCCGTGATATATGAATCCACATTATATGAACCCGCATTATAGGGGGGTCTGCTGTATATATATTGATGTAATTTATTCTTTGGATTCAAATAGCTCGTTATTCCAAAGAATTTTCTATTTTAAATGTGTTCTTAATTGTTCTACTGAAAAAGAACATTTATCGATGTTCCATAGCTTTTAAAAACTTGAAGATGCCTTGTAGAACACGTTGAAAGCATTTGTTAAAGTTAATAAATAATTCTCAGTGATGTAAGATGATGTAAAAGTATGATGTCTCAACATACATGATTTCAATTACCTAAATATGTAATTTTTACACGTTCTGGTTGAGTACATGTATTTTGGCTTAAGGGTGATAGTGCCTTGAACTATACACAATCTCAAACTATCAAGATTCTACTGTAAAATATCCTCCAAAATATATGTCAAACAGGCATTAGTCAATGAAACAATACAATTTAAAATTTATGACAAAATATTTAAAAATCTTTCTTTAACAAATCATGTAATTTTACTGACCTTAACTTTTGATACAGTTTTACTTGGTTTCTGCCTTGCAACTAAACTAGCAAGATGAGCTGTATTTTCATCAACCACAGCATTTACTACATCTTCTCCAGCAGAATTCCTAAATAATTAATGTAATGCACTTTAATTATTACTGTTATTTCCATTTATATAGTAAATTTAAATCTATTAATTCTTGCTTTATTGAAAGTCATATGATTGTTAGCTATTAAGTTCAAAGAATCTTTAGGTCTCATATCATCATCAGGAATGGGAACCTTAGAAGAAACTTCAACAAACATCAGGCAGAATACTATCTACTTTTAAAACAAAATCTTCTTTCAAAACTTCTTATCTCAAGCTAAATGAACTTTTCATCCCAAGCAGAGTCTATCATGCTCCCTGCCAGATCAAGTTTAACATATTTTAATATATATATTGAAGAAACATAAATTGTTGTCTTAAATCCATCACTCTCACATTCACCAGAAATAAGAACATTTTTAATCACAGAGGCAATCTTTTATTTGAGGCTACACCTCTATGAAAATATGTAAAAACAGTTAAAATGTTCTCTGGTAATGATGCCAAAATTTATAAAAAAATAATTTGACTATTTGTTTTTAAGTTTTGGCATCATCACCAGAGAACATTTTAACTGTTTTTATATATTTTCATAGAGGTTAGCCTCAAATAAAAAAAATCACCTCTGAGAATAAAAATTGTTTTTGTTCCTGGAGAATGTGAGAGTGATGGATTTAAGACAACAATTTATGTTTCTTCAATATATATATATATATATATATATATTGAAGAAA